AAATGCAGAATGCACATGTCCATGGACATGGTCCTGGCCTGGGTCATTGGGGGATCTCCTTTAGAATCCGTTACCAGCCAGGTTTATCTGCCATGGGAAGCATCTCACCAGCAGAAAATATTCATACAGACACTGTTACATTTGACAGTCTTCAGTATCAAGGGAAACGGTCTTTAATCCTATTAACTAACTGCCTAAATCTTTTATTTTTTTTAATTTTTAAGATGTATTTCATTTTCTTAGGGTTTATATGTGTTTGGCTGTGTGAGTATGCACCACACATACACAGGTGCCCATGAAGAGCAGAAAAGGGTGTCAGATCCCTCGCAGATTGAGTTACAGGGGGTTGGGTGAGGCCTGACATGGATACTGGAAATAGCTGTAAGCCTTCTTCACTGCTGAGCCAGACCTCCAGCCCCTCACTGCCCAATCTAAGGGGTGGGGGGAGCTCAGCTGAGCCAGGCAAATTAGCCAAAGCATATTCCATCCAAACTGAGTTTCAATTTAGATCAGTGAATGTTTTGTGCCATACAGGTAAACGTGGAGAGACAGAAAGGATGGGAAGACAAAAATATCCCAACATATGGGTAGCCACGGAACTGACAGATGGGGACCATTTTAGTACAAGAAAGACAGATTAAGAAAGAGAAAGGTGTTTGAACCAAATCCACAGATGTGGTGGGGTATTATGCTATTACTGCTGTGTCTTAATACCATGAAACAATCCTGTTATCCTCATTCCTGTAAATGTGAGGGAAGCAAAAACTGACAGGCATAGAAACAAAGCTGCTTTGCCTACCACCCTGAATGCAGCTCTCCAGGAGGCTTATTTCAGCGTCGTTCAAATTCTACCATTCTCTTCTGCTAAAAGACAACTCTGGGAATTCCCTTACCACCCTTTCTTAATAAAATGGTGGTGGGGGGAGGTAGGGAGAGAAGATAACCTCAAGGTCTCTAAGTAGAGACAACTAAAGAGCTGGCTCCTGGATGTAAAACCAAATCCCTATTAGAACCAATAAAGCAGGGAGGTAGGAACACATGTTGATTGCTTGCTCCCTAGGCTAAGAAAAGGCAACCCCTGGAGATGCTGTCCATGCTTCTAAAATCTGATTACTATCCCTTGGGATCTCTGGCACAGGACATGAATTCATAACAATTTTATTCACACAATTTTATGTAGCCCAAAGAGAGCCAGCTTCCAGACTGAGTTTGGTTCCTCACTTCATATGAAGAGAAGATCAAGAGATGGTGATGCCAGAGCCAGGCTTGATGACTGACACCTATAATCTTAACGCTCAAAAGCTGACAGAAGAGGATTGCTGGGACTTCAAAGCTAGCCTGGGCTATGAGTGAAACTGTCTCAAAGCAAGAGAGAAGAGGGGTGGGCACCAAACAGGTATCTAAAGTCATGCAACAACCTTAGAGACAGAGTCGAGACATCTATTATGAGCCAATGTTTTTCTTTTTTAAACTAACTTTCTAGTTCCTATTAGCCACATCATCTCATATCAGGTGAGACATGGAGAGCTGATCTTAGAGCACAAGTTAGGCAGAACTGCCCATCTCTCTTTGGTATTACTAACACACAATGGGACAATCTTTTTTTCTGCCTTATTTCAAAGAAAAACAACAACCAAAAGGAAATGTTGTTCTTAAAAGATTCTTTTAACTGGCAAATCAAAGTCTTCAGATTCCAGAAGTACGAGTTCTGTCTTGTGGGGGATATTATTTGAAGCATAACTTCTTTTATGGAACATCCTGGTGACATCCCAAAAGCACCCAAGTAGAACTGTAGTGCTGTGATTTGCATGTAAATGTAAGTGTAATGTAAAATGTGTTTCATAATCCTTAGGACACTCAACCATAAAGGGCATGGCTCCATCAAATCCCTCCCTTTAGGGCTCAGGGAAATCCTTAGGAGAGAAGGCAGAAAGGGTGTAAGAGCCATAGGAGATGAAAGACATCAGGAGAACAAGGTCCTCTAAATAAAAATGATCAAAGCTCATATGAACTCACAGAGCCTGAAGCAGCCAGCAGTGAACCCACACCGGTGTCTGTTCCAGGTCCTCTGCAATTATATTCAGGGTTCAAGGTTAGTATTTTTATAGAATTCTTGAGTGTGCAAAAGAGTGGGATCTCTGCTTCTTATGCTTTCTCTAGGGCTCTTCTCTTTTTGTTTGTTTTGTCTACTTCTGATGTGTTAGGTTTTGCTTCCTATTATCATATTTTATTTTGTTTTATTATTATTATCTCTTACAAATATATTTGTTTTTAATGAAGAACAGAAACAGGGATTTTGTAGAAAGGAGGACAGGGGAGGAGAGCCTGGGAGGAGTAGAGGGAGAGGAAATAAATATGGTATGTGAGGGGGGAATCTATTTTCAAGAAAACAGACAAAAAATATGTCACTCCCAGACCCAATTGCTTCTATGCTTGACCCTCAGCAACTGATGCTGTTCTCAGGTGTTATATATAAATCCTTAGGACGTGCCTTCTTGGTTGAGAAAATGAGTCTCTGTGGGGGTGCAGTTTTAAGTTCCCAACCCACTCTTCTTTCTATGCCTTCCCTGCGTCCCGATCCATCCAGACATAATCAAGCAGCTTCACTCTCCAAAATCTTTACCTCTGTACCATGACGCATTATGTACCTCCCAAACAGAAGCCAAAATAAATGTCTCCTCTTTTAAATTCCTCCCTGTAAAGCAGTTCGTCCCAGCAACTACTTTAGTTGAGAAGAGAAACCAGTACAGCAGCTGTGCTCTAATTTCAAGCCCATCTAGGACTCTCCGCAGCCATGTCTGCACTGGCTCCTTGATGATCCTAACTCTGCTTGGTGTGCTCCAGAAGGGAATGGTAGATGCAGCTGCACAAATCTAGTCTTTCTGCAGTTGTAGAATGCGTGGCAGGTGCTGTCTTCGGCAGTAGTTCCTTCTAGTTGACTAACGCGATCAGATTAGTGATGAAGATGGACATATGCCAAAGTGGCCAGAGGGTATAGATGGCTGTTAGGTGAGACTCAAAGTGTAGGTGTCAGGGAGATAAAAATAAGGGGTATAGTCTCTTTTAGATAGAGCACACTACAAAACAAAGTAGGGTGAATCATGAGAAAATATCAGAATGGTTCCAGTAATGGATGAAACAGGAGATAATCATACTAAGTGAATTGAGTCAGTCTCAGAAAGAAAAATATCATGCTCTTTCTCATTAGTTGCTCCTAGATTTTATATACATACACAAAATAGTGTGTGTGTATGACAAAGAGGGGAGGGGAAAGTACAAATAAAATTATCTAGGAGGGTAAAGGGGGACTGATGAAACTAGCAAGGGGCAAAAAAAGGAGCTAATAAACAGGTATAATGGGGAGTGTGTATAACATACAGTACTTACACAGCAAGCTAGGTTAAAGCACAGTTTTAATCCCAGCCCTGGGAAAGCAGAGGAAAACTGAACTCTAAATTCAAGACCAGCCTGCTCTATGTAGTGAGTCCCAAGCCAGTCAGAGACATGGTGAGAGCTTATCTCAATTTTATGAAATAAAACAGTCCACATTCATGCACACTTAAAAATAATTTTTAAAAAATCTTTATTGTATTTTATGTGTGTGGCTATTTTGCCTCTGTGTATGTCTGTGTCACATGTGTTCCTGGTAACTGGACAGGCCAGAAGTGGGCATCATCAGCTTCCTCTGAAATCAGAGTTACAGAGGGCTGTGTGCAGCCCCGTAGGTGCTGGGAATTGAGCCTGCGTCCGGCAAGAGCAGTAGGTACTTGTAACCACTAAACTATCTCTCTAGCTCTGAAGTAACTATTTTTAAATCAAATATTAAATGCACCACTTAAGATCAGAGTGCAGATCTTTAGGATAAGCCTATTTTGAGGCATGTGTGTGCACCCTATGTTTTGCAGTGACTTATATGGTCTCTTGATACCAGTGGATGTCAAGAAATAAAGATTACAAGAGCCCATAGCCTGTCAGAACCTGGCTTTCAATGTTCTCAGAGCATCTCAAGAATCAGTTGAGTCTTTTTAAATCAGTGGTCATCAACCTGTGGATCATGATCCCATTGGGTCACATATCAGAAAGGTATTTGCATTACGATTCAGACCAGTAGCAAAATTACAATTAATAAATACCAACAGAATAATTTTACGGTTGGGGGTCACCACAACATGAGGAGCTGCACTATAAGATCGGAGCATTAGGAAGGTTGAGAACCACTGTCTTAAATGTGTTCTTTCATTAAAGACAAAAACAAACTAACAAATTCTCAGAAAACACCTAGTAATAATAAAATCTTATGTATTAAATATACCATTTAATCATTAGAAATCATTTACATGATTAAAAACAAACAAAACTTCAAAGTCAACACTGGGAAATGTTCATAAAACATTTGCCATGAGAAATCCATCCCCCAGATATAATCTTCCCTGGGTGAAAAACTGGAGTCATCAAATTAATGATACCAATGGCCATTTAGTCCATGCCACAAACTCCTATTTTGGTTCTGGGTTTCCCCAAAACTAATCTGATAAATATCCTAACTATATCTACAATGGTATGTATTGGGTCTTAGACCTTAATGAACCCATTGTATTACGGGTTTTATTTCTTATTAAACATTAGCAACCTAGTACAGTATCCAATGCCTTGGACATTTTGTAAGAACTCTTATAGATCAATGAAGGTTTCCTGGCATATCTTGATTCCGAAACTAAAAACCAAATATACACAGAGAAGAATTCAAGTTCCCACCTGAGAAGATGCTGTCTTCTCAGTGAGAGGCTATCTCTCAGGCTCTTAACACCATGAGTCTTGCAGTCAGCTCATCTCTTGGCTCAGCAGTTTTCTAACTGTTAATAGATTTCTGTCTATGTTTATCTAGATGAGATAACAAACAGGCTTCTGAATGAGTAAGCTCTAAAATGCTACCCTGGAAAGCAGCATTCTGAAAAAACCATCGCAAAGTTCTTGTGGCAAAAATAGAAAGAAAACCATACCTGTCTCCTCAGATCTCTTGTTTTCTTGGTCATCTTGTCAATTGCAATGTTGAGAGGATCTCCTTTTTCTTTCCTTCCAGTCTGTTAAGAAGAGAAAAATCACTTCTGGTTTATAAAATTAAGTGTCAAGGACATTAAGTGTTTAAGACAATTCAGGAAAATATGTTAAGTTGCAAAATCCAACTAATTTAAAGCAAACCAAAATATTTAAGTATACGATGAACATGGCTGGGTGACTAAAGTTATTTTTCTGAAACAGAAATTAAAACAAAAAGTCAACACGTTCTCAGGATAGTTATATCCATATTCAACTCTCTTCAAATCCATTTTCTTCCTCTCCTGCCATTTATGGATAAATTACATAATACAAAAAGTGTCTTGCTTTTGATCTCAAAGACAAATATAATGGGATTTTTATTATGTAAGCATGCTTATAAAATAGAAGTGATTCTTAAGAAGAATTCACAGGGCCTAGGAGAAGACTCAGTGGATGAACTACTTGATGTGCTACAGTCTGAGAACCAGAGCTGTATCCCGGCCACAAAAATGACAGGTCAGTACAGCAACCCACCTCTAATTCTAGCACTCTGAAAGCAGAGACAGGGAATTCCCTGGAAGACACTGAATAGTGGGACTATGATATCATTGAGTTTTGGGTTCAAGTGAGAGACCCTGCCTGAATTATTAAACTGGAAAATGATAGAGCAAAACTCCTAACACAGAGATATGCAACATGCCTATACACATACACATGCATATGTATACAAGAGTATGCGTATATGCATGCATACCACAATAAAAAAGAAAAGCTTAAAACAAATTCTCCTTTGTCAAAATTGAAAATTTTATGTCAATATTTCAAAGACCACATTGCAAGTTTTGTAAGAAGATTGGAAAATCTACCTTTCTAGAAAATTAAAAACGTTTAATCTCTGTTCTACAAAGCAGGAGAGGTGCAAAACATAGCCATAAGGAGCTCACAGGTTGTGATCATGAGCAAATCTTTCCTTATGTCTCCAATATATAGTTATAGAAGCAAAAATAATAGAGAACAAACAACACTTCAATAAACTATTCACTTAAATTTTTCCAAGTTTTGTGTTAATTTTTTCCATTTCCCTGATGGCTATAGAAAAACAAGGAAAATCAAACAAAGATTTCTTAATAAAATTAAATTTGAATTTTTAAAGTTTATTTCATTGTGTGTGTGTATGTGTGTGTGTGTGGAGTTGGGGGTGGCTAGGGTTTCATTGCTGCCATGTGTAGGTCAGAAGACAAGAAGAAATCGGTTCTCCTACCTTGTGGGTTTTAGGAATCAAACTCAGGTCATGAGACTTGACAATGAGCACCTCTACCTGTGGGGCCATCTTTCCAGCCCTCCACTGTTTTGTTTTGCTTTGTTTTTACAGTGACAAGATTCCCATGGATTCAAAGTTTTATGAACACTGCAGGCGCCATCTTCTACACAAGAGGCGATCATTTTCAAAGAAATGTGTGAAAGCTATTAAATCACCGAAATGTCAGTCTAACACCCTAAATGTTATTTATTTATTTGTTTGTATTCCTAGGGGCAAGTCATCTCTTGCTCCACACCCCATCTGTACAGAATCTCACAAAGCTCCATAGCTGAGTATAAAATGAGTGAGATCCCGGGTGACAACATCCTACTTAACAGATGGTCTGCTTGGAGGAAAGAAATGACCACGTATCAGGCATATAAGGGTCTCTTTTCGTGAAAAAGACAAAATCCAAAACAAAACAACAGCAACAACAAAAAAGCAAAAACAAAAGAAAAACAACACCTAGATATAGGTAGCCCGTACAGACAAAAGCATCAGAATTGAAAGTGACCACTTTTCTTCTGCAGCTTGCTTCGTTAAGCCAGTTTTTCTAAACAAATAAGTGAGGCATAGCCTTACATGATTTTCATTGAAAAGTCAAAACTTGGGGCATATGTGTGCATATTTTTAGTTGTCTAGAACTCTACAAACCCTTCCTTCCCCACTCTCTAAGCTCACACACTGATTCTTTCAGATGTACACATTGAGGTGGTTCGTAGGAAGAGCTTGAAATAAAGAGGCTAACATTTTACAACTTTGAAATATCAGCCCAAAAATAGCTCCAAGAAAACAAAAGCATATGAAGAATTAGAATGAGGTGGTTTGATCTTTCTGAAAAACAGGAATGTGATCATAATGAGCAAGAGTACAGCCAGCATCCAGCCTTCTAATGCTCAGTTGGACACTAGTTCAACAGCTAGTGGCTACTCTTCTTCTTTGATTAGTGTGCAAATAGGATGTTTGCCATAAAAATACAGAGTTCTTTAGGGGAGGTGAGAACTGTTACAGTCTTTCTAAGAGTCAAATACTTCCCATTCCATTTCATTTATTAAAATAGTAAAATCTCACTCAGAAGGTAAAAGCTGCTGTGTGTGGTGGCACACATGATCAATCCCAGCACTTGGTAGACAGAGGCAAGCAGATTTCTGTGAAATCCAAGCCAGCCTATTCTACACATTGAGACCCTGTCTCAAAAGTCAACAACCAAACAAATAAAAGTTATGGGTTAGGTTTACATTGTGGCTAGAACAATAGAATAACTGTCAAAAGATGGGCAAGGACAGAGAGGTGGGGGAGAGATGGCTCCATAGGTAGAGTCCTTGGCTGGCAAGCATGATAAGATAGTTAAAATTCCTAAAACCAAAGTGATACTAGATGTGTCAGCACACATCTGTAATCCCAGAGCCCCTGTGGTGAGATTTAAAGACAGGAGAATTCCTGTAAGGGCACAGGTTAGCTAATCTGACATATTCACTGGGGATAAAACAAAAGAAATAGACACTGTTTCAAAGTGGACAGCAAAGGCCAAAAGCTTAGATTATCCTCTGGCCTCCAAACACTCACTGTGGTACACTAATGTCCACATTCATGAACACACACACACACTGCACACACACATACACACGCACACACCACCACCACTACTATCACAACCACCAACACACCTCAGAAAAACATACAAATATAATAGCTTTAAAAATAAAATGAATTGCAATAGTTTGACTACATGAAATAATAAGTAACTATGAGTAAGTACCAGATACTGGCATCTCCTTATTCTGTTAGTAACACATCTGTATCCTCTTTTCACCAGTGAGAAAAATGACAGTGGAGATAAGTCATGAAACTAGGGTCAGGAGTTGAAGAACTGACCTATGATTCCAAGACTTAAGAGGGCGTAAAAGAACTCACTAATTAAGATAAATAGCTTAATGCACCCTTTAAAACAGCAAAATGACAGCAGAAAAAGAAGCCATGCAGAGAAAAATAGATACAAAAAGCAAAATTCAAATTAAGACAAATCTAACAAGGCATAGTTTAGGACAGGACCATTGAAGCAAACCCCACATCCAATAATATGAAATTTGACAAGGCATGATTTGGGATAGGGACACTCGAGCAAGCCCTGTGTCAGATATTTCTTACTTTAAAAACTAGGGAAACAACAAGATGTCTGCAAGACATATCCAGTAGGGTGATAGTGGCATGAATATCACAGAAGTAATAAACCACTTTTGATTGGATTTAAAACCTTTCATGAGATGGAATCGGTCTCTGAAATTGTCAATGAGGCCAAGAACCTGAGGTAAGATATAGGTCATGGACTCCAGAGGAAACCCTACTATTATTGTTGTGCTAAATGAACATAGCAATAAAATGACTTCCAGTGGGGGAAAAAATGAAAAAAAAAAACTATAGAGAAATATTAGAAATATCACTCAGTGGGTAAAGTACTTGTCTAGCAGATAGAGACCCCAGGATCCATTTGTAACAATGCATAAACGAATAGTGTGGTTGCTAAGGCACTTATCTACAATCCCATACTTAAGAGGCAGGGCAGGAAGAGCAAAAATTCAAGATAGTCCTCAGCTACATAACTGATGTGGGAGTGTCATATCAATCTGTTGATTTCATTGGTTGAGCAATAAAGAAACTGCTTGGCTGGCCCTGATAGGTTAAAGAATTGGTGGGAGGAGTAAACAGGAGGAAGTGAGGTAAGACTCCTCAGTCAGACTCTGCTCGGCTCCCGGAGAGACCCGACAGCTCTGATCTCTGGAGCAGAGACGCCATGCTCCACTCTCCCGATAGCTCTGCTCTCTGAGGCACACACGATGAAGCTCCGACCCAACATGGACATAGGTTAGAATCTTCCTGGTAAGCGCACCTTGGGGTGCTTACACACATTATTAGAAATGGGTTAAAACAATATGTAAGAGCTAGCCAATAAGAAGCTAGAGTTCATGGGCCAAGCAGTTCTTAAATGAATACAGTTTATGTGTTGTTATTTTGGGCATAAGCTAGCCAAGCGGACAGGGTGTTGGGGACGCAGCCCCGCCGCTCTTATTTCAACACATAACAAGTTCAAGGTTATCCTGGTAAAAACCTTCTCTTAACAAGAACAGCAAAAGAAGTATGTTTTCATAATTAAAAAAAAAATACTAAAAAGAAAAAAATGTTAACTAAAACCCTGGCTTGACTTAGTGTTCTGTGATTTTACATGCTGAATGTGGTACCTCTACACCCAGAGGTAACATCAGTACTTAAGTGGTGACTGAGGTTGTTACAGACACACGTGGGAGACTTGGCTGTTCCTTTCTGTAAGCAGAAGGCAACATGTGTTTCCCATGTGGCATCAATAACCTGAATGTCAAGCACACATTTGTCAGACAGGATCACTGTGGGAGGAACAGTAATAGGGAGAGTTAAGGTTCCCTCTTCTCAGAATGTCTCCCATACAAATGAGTTGACTAGAACATGAGACTAGTGAAAGGGGAGAGTTCCTTGAGATGGCAAGTAGAAGCCCTACGAAGTCCCCAAACATAAGAGAGGGTTAGAGGACATTAACTAGACCATCAGCTCTGAGTTAGGGTGGAATAGAAAGAAGAGCAGCGTTTTGAGTGGCAGGAAGAGACACACGACAAGACAGGCTCTGAAAGGACAGTGAATAGAAAGAGCCAGCCTTTGCTGCATGGAAAGAAGGGATGACTCTGACTATCAACCAGGATTATTTTCAAGAGAGCT